TAAATCGTTAACTCAGTCACTCCAGTGATGACCTGTGATGACCAAACCCCTAGAGTACCACATCACATACACAACTCGAGACCTATCTTGACTCAAACTCTACTTTAGTCGAGTGCACATGCTTTGGATGCATCAGCTGAGTTTGATGACCACAGCTAGGAATGTTTTGAACTTGCACTGTCATTTTTTTTCTACTAGATGGCAGTGAAAGGTTACACTTCAGGGACATCCAGTACTGAAGTGCCACATTACTGTACCATTTATTGTTGACTCTAGAACACCTGAACCAGCTCATGAAGAACTTGATAACTAATTCAAGGCTGAATGTGTTTGATGACACAAATCAATAAAATGTGCAACATGCTGTTTTTAACCATGATAACCAAGAAAACGCAGAATGTGCCTGGCAGGTCATGACATGAAAACATTTCAGGCACACACTTTTGCAAAATTTCACAACTGTACTGCAAATAATTCTGTAATCATTAATATTGATTTATTTTCCCTATTTCTATTTCAAATTCGCCTCTTAAATGTCCCGTTTAACTGCTTATTGAATGCTAATGTCTAACTGGGCTGAGCTGACATTTTAACAAAATTAATCATTATTTTAAGATACATCATTTAAAATGGCATTGTTTGATCATTATTTAATCTAAGTATGCTACACTGATCTGACTAACTGATAGAGCATTCAAATATTAACTAAAAATCTAAAGGCCTAAATAGCCTATTGGAAACTGAGTAATTAGCATTTTATATTTAGGACAATTGTACAATATCAACCGTCTTAAAATTGCCTATTTGGCTTGTAGCAGACTCAAACTACAATAGAGTGACTGGTGAAAAGCTATACAAACCCCGTCATGTGTGTTTATTGTCTGGAATTGCAATAGCTTTCTATTAAAAAAAGCACATTTATTCACATTTTTAAAATGTGAACTGAGATTATTATACACAAAGCAATAGAATCTTAAAAAAAACTAAATGGTCAGTATAAATAATAAATAACTTTTATTAAAAGTGGCACATACATCAGTTGAGCTTTCTTTCTTTTCTACGCAAAGTCACCATTACTGCATAGAAACATGTTTGTTGTCTGTGTACCTTAAATGAGTTTTAAAGTTGCACTACCTTCAGAAAAATGGGGCAGATTTATACCTTTTCTCATCCAGTCAGGCAGCAATCCGACCCCTGCCCCGCAGCCAGTCAAAAAACCCAAAAGACGTGATATAAAAGCAACACAAAACTAAAACTTCATGCCGCCACCTTTTTTCAACATCGAGCCACCCCACCTGAAACTATGAACACGTGTCATCCAGAAGATGGAGAACATCCAAATCCCTCATTCTGCCAAGCATGCACTCAGCTTCAGCGGTGCTCCAAAAGTGTTCTGCTAGCATCTCGCTGGTGCTGTGCCAAACGCTGCTCGCTTATCTCCGGTACCGCAGTCCATTTTCTCACATGCACAGACTTCAGCAGATCAGCTCCTGTTTCTCTCTAATACTGCAGAGCTCTTCTTCTTCTCCACTGAACACTGAATGTACATAGATGGTACCAGCACTGTGACAACATTGAAGAGACAAATGAATAAATACAGTTAAGTACAAGAAGAACAACAACAGAGAGACCTTCATATCTTCAGGACCCCTGGTGGCTTGGAGGGCCAAAAGCTACAAACGATGTGTTTTGTTGACTTTTAAGTGTAAATAAGTGAACACATCCTCTACAGAGAACACACTCCTACACATTTTAATGCACAGCCACTGTTGCTTTCCTGAATTTAACATACTGGGAGAGAATGAGGTATTAAATGTGGACTGTGCAAAAGTTATGGCATATTTTATGTTTTATTGGGCACTACCATTTGCCATATTTTAATGTGCTCCCTGTAGAGGGTGTGTAAACTTATTGTCACTTAGGAAACTAACAAAACATATCATTCACCAGGGGTGTTCAAACTTATTTCTACAACTGTAATTCACATCTGTGTCTTTCACACACAGCCAGGATTTACATACAGCTGTTCAGTGACACATCCTCTGTTAGAAAGATAACTGTCCATCAATGATGCAGCTTCAGAAGAAAAACTGTGAGGAATCTGAGTAATAAACTGTTGTTTCTGCTCCACATTTAAATATTTAGCAGATCCTGGAAAAGACGGTGACGAGCTCTTTCTGTCTGAGGGGGCTGCAGCGCTGCATGATGGTACTGCAATGAAAAGGTGCATATTTAAATAAATTTGCATATAATCTGCATTTGAGTAAATATGAATGCATTTACGGGAATAGCACTGAGATCACACCAGGAAACGATCTGCATAACAAAACCACTATGCTCTCTATAGTAGATACATACATGTAAATGAAGAGCATGTCTTTAGGCCAGAACAGTTCATAGAAATAACTCTACTGGATGCAAGAAAAGCTTTGGAGCGCACATTAAAACCATCTGATAAAGTGTAGTTATCAAGCTTGGAATCATATGTCATATTATATGCCATAAAACATACACAATAGATAATAATAAATTAGATAATGTACATATCAATATTATAAAGTAGACATCAAAAGGTATTTGTAGGTATTCTATAAAACATAATTCCAAAAAGTTGGAACAGTATGTGAAAGGCTAATAAAAGCAGAAAGCAGTGATTAGTAAATTCTGTTTAACATGTAATAATTTGAAAACGGTACAAAAACACATACTTGATTTTTTTATTATTATTATTATTTCTTTCTTTATTTTTGTACATATTTGCTTATTCCAAATTTGAAGACGGCAACACCTTCCAAAATAGTTGGGAGCATGTTTACCTCTGTGTTGCATCACCTTTCCTCTTAACAACATTTGATCCTGATTTGGGGACTGAAGACACCAAGCGATCCAGTTTTAAAAGTGGAATCTCTGTCCATTCTTTTGTCATATGAGTTTTCAGCTGTGCAACTGTACAGAGCCTTTGTTGTGCTATTCTGAGCATTAATAAAACACACGCTTTCAATGGGAAACAGTTACGGACTGCAGGCAGGTCAGTTTAGTTAACTAGTTAGTCTAGTTAACTAGTTAATTTGCTGATGTGAATACGAAATAGTAAATATTGACTAGTATTTTTTTTTTCTTGTAAGATCTTCGTTTTTACTGTAAATTATACACTTGTTTGCAAAATCTATTATAAATTGAAAATAGTATTCAAAGTTGCAATAAAATCAATTTGAACATTCAAATTACTCTCCACTTACTTAGCAAGCTAAACCTTCTTTCAGGAGGGGGATTTGCCAAACATGCAATTTGATCCAGGAAGAAAAGGCTTCTCCTCTGTTTTCCTACAACAGCAGTTAGAGGGTTTGTTGTGGCATCCAAACACATGAAAACAGGCTGAGTGTGTGTTTGTGTGAGTGTGATGTGTTGCATGTGGAACCAAACATATGGGAACATTGTAGTGTCAGAATGGTTCAGGTGTTATTTTTTGTGAGACAGTGTTGTGTTATGAATCAATACTGCCTTAAACACATGGCCATGACCAGTAATTATGCACAAAGTGCAATGATTTTAGTCTATAGTACAAGTGATTCATTCTATGACAGTGTCATGTTTAAAGTGACTGAGCTCTTTAATGTCACTTAGCTGAGACTGCATGGCTATGTGCTTGATTTTGATATTGAGTGTGTGTAAAACACCTAAACTCAATCATTAGCATAGGTGTCTACATACTTTTGGCCACATAGTGTACCTTCTTTATCATAGTCAAGCCAATTATGTGTGTGTGTGTGTGTGTCTCTGTGTGTGTGTGTGTGTGTGTGTGTGCGTGTGTCTCTGTGTGTGTGTGTGTGTGTGTGTGTATTTCTGCAATTTCTATTTATTTGAGTGTCTTAGAAAAAATGAACATAAAATAAAATGAGTGAACTTGAACTTGAAATTAACTTTTATTTTTACCAGTAAGTTAAATTCAGCATATAAACAGTACTTGTGCACTAAAATGTGCAGAAATGTGTCCTCTGAAGAGGGTGTGCTAACTCATTTTCAACATGCTGGGTTTTATTTTAATTTGTAACCCATCTGTATCTATAGCTTTAGTAGTACAGCTAGCATTTAGCATTTACAATACATCACAGACAAAGAACTTGAATTAATTGAAATGAACAGTTTGAAAAAAAATCTGTAAACTAATTGGAACTTCAACAAACAGTTTTGATGTTAACTAGCTTTTCAAAAATGCTCTCAGCACTGGGGAATTCAGTGAACTTGTGTAGTTTGGATTCCATTTTATAGTTTCTACTTCTATACTTGAAAACCCCAACTGATATGCAATGCACCATTCACGCATAGTGATATTAGCTCACCTTGCGATTGTTAATGTCTTGGATTAAAGGGGTCCTATCCAAAACCCTGGGATTACCTCCTGCGTTTTTTGTTCAATAGTGGTCAGTAATAATGTATCATAAAATAATGAATCATTCCTAATGTTGAATGTTCATATTTGCAGTTTTGTTTAAATTCAAATATTTTTGTCACTTCATTCTTTGAAATTACAGCCTTTTAACGTAACAATTATCATTACATGTTGGGGCTGGTTGTCACAAATGTAGTCACCAATGCACTAATTTGAATATTTTCTTACATAATTTCTGTTGTTAGCCAGTACGTTCAGCTATCCTAATGTACATTATTTGCTTGTATAATTATTGAGCACAATTAATGGACGGATTAGACCAGGGATGTCCAGTCTTATTCAGAAAGGTCCAGTGTGGCTGTAAGTTTTCCTTCAAAAAAAACCTAGCAAAAGTAAAACTGAAATTATAGACTAGACTGCAGAAGGTAATGGTAGAGGTGAGTAAGCTATTGATGGGATACCTGAGTGGGTGAAGCCAGGATTGGGAAACTGTGATACGATAACAGTTTTAAAGGATTGACCACATTTGTGGGAGGTTCTGAAAAGCCTCCATGAAGCCACACCCCCTTTGATCATATTTATATCCAACCCAGATCTGATTTCATCACATTCTGAAGCTCTCAGATCCACCAACAATGAAGCTGCAGGTAACACTGGCGCTCATCTGTGTGCTTTTCCCAAAAGGTATTGAACTTGACTTACTGAGCATCGTGGAAACTTTAAATGTGGTGAATTTGTGTCAGTTTAGCTTCTCTAAAATGTACTTTAACTAAGGTGCTGTCACAGTGTTGTTAAGGAGTCTTTTACATTTGACATTTTCAGTACAATATTATCACATGTCGCATTATTGAAGGTCTGTGTTTTAGGCATTCAGTCAATGTTACTTGATTGTCCTCTGCTGAACCTGACTTTTTTGTCCTGTAGCGCTGACACTGAAATGTTATCAGTGTAAATCAGGGCTGTCTGAAACATGCACAGACAACCAGACGGACTGTCCAGATCAGTGTGGCAGCACGACCGTCCTTGTGAACCAAGGTGAGAATGACCGAAAACAATGACCTAAAACAGTTTGACGCAGTCCGAAATTTCTCCGCTAATTCATGTGCTGCGTTCACTAGGTCAGCAACGACAATGGATAAATACAAACGGTTGCACAGTAGCAGCAGAGTGTGTCAGTGGAAGCCTAAACCTGGGACTTCTGAAAATGACCATCAACTCGCAATGTTGCAGAGCTGCTCTCTGCAACAGCCAAAACGTGCCAGGTAAAACCAAAAGCTTTGAATATTAAACCAAGAACGTTAAACATAAAGTTCAACTGCAGAACATATCCTGTTAAAACTCTTCATTTCAATTGTTTACTTGTTAAGCTGCGATACAAGGGCCTCCGAATGGGAAGAAGTGTTACTTCTGTACTGCTAAAAACTGCACTGGAACCGTGAGCTGTGAGGGAGATGAAGATCGCTGCATCACTGCCACAGGTGAACAATGTATACTCATTTATAAATCTAGAATGTTATTTTATGGTCATTTTTGATCTAAAATAAGAGCGATCAAGATAAAGTTCTGAATATCGGACTATTGCATTTGTTTGGAAGTTCCACTCTGCTGCAAAACCAGTGTGAGTCGCAAAAAAACGTGTCGCATTTGAATTTGTGATCTCTGTTAAACATTACAACCACATGAGTAGTATGCAAAACACACACAGTCAAATAACACGTTTTGTTGATTTTCTAAGTGAAAACATCTTCTACAGGGAACAAACTTACATCCCATTTTTCTGCCAATTTCCATGTATTTGAAATATAAAATGTGCTGTAACTTTTGCACAGGCCACAATTTATGTTTTATTTTCCCCAATATGTTAAATTGAGCAAATAAACATTCCTGTTTTCTTTTGAGTTTATACACAGACAATTATCAAACTTCAATTACAAAATACAGATTGTAAAAGATAATCAGTAATAACAACACTTCAGCAATTTTCAAGTTGTTACAAATAAGACGGACACTACTTTAAGCTTTCTGGCAGGTAGGCACAGCGCTGGTTACTTTCTGGCAGGCAGGCTCTTATGACCCGGTCTAGGGGCAGGCTGTAACAGAAAATGATAGTGGGCTCTCTCTCCCCAGACCAGACAGCAGGCACCACTGAAACCAGAGAAACTGCAGGTTTATTTTCCTCACAGACTCAACCAAAAGATGGGATGATGGCTTCAGGGATGAACATATGCCAAAATAAACAACTAACGATTTCCAATCTAGCTAAACTAAAAAATGAGAGGAAAAAATGCATATGGCTTCCCTAACTCCCTATATTAAAACAGGAGAAACTGTAACCAAACTAAAACCAATGTTCAAATTGCCCCAGTGCTAAAGCTAAAATCTCACATTGAAGCTGATCTCTCTCTGAATGAAGCTGATAATTACTGAAGCATGTAGCAAATCTTCTTTGAAACGCTGATGTTAAACAAAAAATCTTACACGTAAACAATACAAATACAAGTACGAATCCAAAATGTGTTTACATATCCGGATTTAAAGAACGAGCTAGCAGAAACAAATGTATTTAATAAACAAAGTTCTTGAGGGCAAACAAGGAGCATAGTATATAGAACCACTGAATTAACAGAATTGGAGTGCAACAAACACTTCCAATCAAAAGACTGCATCACCATGGGCCAGAAAAGCTAGCATGTAGAGCAAAACCAATGCAAAGAAGTAAGAGAAGCACTAATTTGTTCAAACATCAGACTAACTCACCGAAATGACTGTGCCACACACACGCGAGGCAATTTAGCACGCCCAATTGGCCTGAATGTCTTTAGACTGTGGGAGAAAGCCCATGCAGACACAGGGAGAACATGCAAACTCCACACAGAAAGGACCCTGGTCGCTCGGCCACGGAACCGAATCCCAGCCCTTATTGCTGTGAGGCGACGGCATTACCCACTGCACCACCATGCTACTCAACAGGAGTCTACGACAAGTGCCAGGAGACTGAATCAGATCTATAGATTTTAGCCCATTCCTCCATACAAAACAGCTTCAACTCTGCTATTTTGGTGGGTTTTGTCGAATGAACTGCTCGCTTCAGGTCCTTCCATAACATTGGTATCCTTGGTCCTTCCATAAACATCTTTGGTAGAATGACTTGTGTGCTTAAGGTCACTGTCTTGCTGCGTGACTCACATTCTCTTGAGTTTCTCTTGAGTTCATTGTTCCATTATGGCTAGCTGTCCTATCCAAAAAACATCCAAAATAGTAACTGTTCAAGGGAAAACATTTTTGGCTTTTCATAAAAGTTAATGTAACAATATTTTATTCTGAGTGATTTTGAATATTATTTTATTATAATATTACTATTGCTCTGTTCACCCATAAGTTAAGAGTGTTATGAGGGTTTTAGTCTGGATTTTTTTTTTTAAAGTACACTAGAACATAGCCTATCGTAACAGTGGGTATCAACATATCATTGCTGACAGTAAAAACTTTGTATCTCCATTTTTGACCTTTTGTGCTAAGGAGCTTGTGTTTTATTTGTTGTTATTGTTGTTGTTGTTGTTTTGGTTTGAGGGAAGGTAGTTAAATAGGTTGGCATTTTTTTGTTTTGTTGGCTTTAGTCCACCCTGACACCATGTCTCCTGTTGTCCAGTTCAATTCTGTGTAAAATATGTTCATGCAAACTGTAACATGGAGCATCTTTTGGCAGAAATAGAAAAGAAAATGTACAATGAAAATATACCTTTTCGGCTTCAATCGGAGATATGACAGCTAACCTCTCTCTCTCTTTCTCTCTCCCCTACATCTACATTCACAGCTACTGGTGATGATGCTTTAGTGACCATGAAGGGATGTGCAAGCATAGATCTCTGTACTGGCCCTGCTTCGACCATGCAGGCAGCTGGAATCACTGGCGATGTGAACTGTTGTAAGGGGAATCTGTGTAGCAGTGCTGAGGGCATTACTGAAAACCTGTATAAAAACAGTGCTGAGGGCCTTAATCTGAGTCTCCTTATCATTTTGGTCCCTCTGATCTCCTCCATCCTCTTCCACTGAACTCTTTGCTGCTCCAACTTTTTTTTTTCACGTCTTCTTTCATCTTTCAAGACTAACAAAGTATATATAAACTCAATCCATCAAACAGTAAGGCTTTAGAGTTCATTAGACGTCCAGAGACATTAGATTTGAAGCAGCATGTAGGCAGCCCTACCCATGAGCTAGGTCACATCCTGGAACTGGTGATCAAGATGATTTTATATCGTTTCTGAATTTTCTTTCAAATCAATTTAGAAATAAGGAAGAAAGTGTCTGAATGTTACTTGGAAAAGCAACAACACAGCAATAAAAAGCAGTAAACAGTGTGGAGACTGAATGGTGCAGTCTGTTTACATCTGACACACACTCTGCAGTTAATGAGTTAATTCATTTTCTTCATTTGGAGATAATGGTTCTCAATGTGATTCCACTGTGTCCCAGAGCCTTAAAACTGGTTTTGTAAGTTTTTCCATATTGCCATATTCCAATAACTTTCTCATATTTTCCAGAATTAGCTTTGATTTTGGCATAGTGTGTTGCTTGTTGAGACCTTTTAACCTATTATAGCTGTGACTGGAAGGTTGCCAGTCCGATCCCCTCGGCTGACAGTCCATGACTGAAGTGCCCTTGAGCAAGGCACCTAACCCCCAGTTGCTCCCCGGGCGCCATGGATAGGGCTGCCCACTGCTCTGGGCAAGTGTGCTCACTGCCCCCTAGTGTGTGTGTGTTCAATAGTGTGCATGTATGTGGGTGTTTCACTGCACGGATGGGTTAAATGCGGAGGTCTAATTCTGTGCAAACACAGTTGGCCGATAGTTCTGAATTCAATTAAATTCATTTTCATGTTGCTAAAAAAAGGTTCTATAAAGTGGGATTCTGTGAGCATTTAGATTCAAGCCCGGGTGTGTCGAGTTTAGTTATCACACAAACAGTTGGTGATGGATAACTTTTTTTTCTTCAATAAATGGAACAATCACTTTAAAAACAGTGTTTTGAGTTTGCTCAGGTTATCTTTGGCCTATATTAAGTTTTGTTTGAAGATCTGAAACAACTAATGTCAGACAATTATGCAAAAAATAAAAGAAATTATGAGGGGGCAAACACTTTTACACAGCCCTGTACATATCATATTGGCAATCAGGGACTTAATTTTCACTGTCATCCTCTTTAGATAACCTCTGATAAGTATTGGTTAATCTAAACACTTCTTCAGTCACTTTGTTTGTTTGTTTGTTTTTTTCATTATCTCATTATTCTCATCATTAAATATGCATTAGTCTTGTCATTTTTCACTACTACATAACTCAATGTTTTGATTGTATTACTATTCAGTGTCAACCAGAGGAGGATGGCTTGCCCAGTTGGGGCTTGGACCCAGATTTCGGTAAACAGCTGTTGTAAAACATGTTTTTATTATTGTGTTTAGTTTATTTTAGAATGCAGGGCATGGTTTTGTAGTCTTCAATGCTCTGGAGACCTAGCAGTGGTTACAAGTCAGCTTGCAAGCCACAAATGTCAGCATTGTAGCGAATTAGCATGTTACAAAGCCTAACGATATGATCGAATAATTTAACCTTTCAGCAATGAGCATTTCAGATTGTGTGAATTGTTTATGTATGATTTTGTTGGACCTTTTCCACTTTCCACAAGATTTGCATACACACAAATAGTCTGTGTACCTGCATACACACATTTACTGAGGGTGTACAGTACAAAAATGACTCACTCTGTTGTTGGTTTTCATCTGTTCTCTCTTGTTGAAATTACTTAAAAAATAGCCCCCTCAATCAAAACAGGTGACACCTTGAAAAGCTGATCTTTAATAAGCCACTAAATACATCCAGTGCCTTCCACAAATATGGGTGCTATAAGAAATGATTACTCCACTAATTTCAATTTTTTGTGTATCTGCAACAAGCTCAAGTGACTACAGATTGCCAGATGTTACTGGAATATTCAGTGGGGTTGTGTTCTATGGTCAGATGAATATAGGGCTTACTGACAACAAACACCAAAGGTGGGTTTGACACAAAGATAGCCAGGCAGAAAACTACTTCATCCCACTGTGAAGTATGGTGGTGGATCTGTGATGTTGTTGGGCTGTTTTTCTTCCAAAGGCCCTTGACAACTTGGTCAGATACATGGTATCATGGACTCCATCAAGGGTGCAAAAGATTAAATGAAAACCTGACTGTCAGGCAGGAGGCTTAACCTGGGCCATGATTGGATCTTCCTACAGAACAGTGATTGAAAGCACACCTCAACACACAAAAATGGTTCAGTGACCACAGAATCAAGGTTTTGTCACGGCCACCCCAGTCCCCTGACCTATAACTCATAGAAACCTATGGGAGGAGCTGAACAGGAGAATCTAAAAGCTTGGACCTCAGAATCTGAAGGGCACTGTGGGTCTTCCAAAGCTGCTGAAGAGCAGGGTTCTGGTGATGATGGGGAGCCTTGAGGTGTTCTTTGTGTGGCTTGGGAGCTTTGGTTGGGTCTTGGGGAGTATCGCTTTGGAGGGCCCTGTGGACTGGGGCACCCCTCCTGATCCTTAGGATACCAGAGCAAGGTGGTCCCAATGCAACACCATGTGGCACCACATTTTGGTGCATACCTGATGCACCATGCCCAGCAGCCTTTTCATCACAAGGCAGGTTCTCGCCTGTTCACAGTCCAGTTTAGGACAGTGACCTTTCAGGTGGAGTAAATTAAGCACCCAGACTCTCTCCTCTGGCTGAAAGTCCCACAGGTCAAAGATCTGCTGGGAACCCCACCAGGACCAGATGCTCCCTGACTGACCAATGGACTGCCTCCAACCTCTGCTGCAGGGGTGCTCAGACTGGGTACTGTCCCAGTGGGCCATTTTTTTCCCATGCAAATGTCCCATCTCTTGCAGAACCGCTAGCATGCCAGCCTCATTCCCCACCCAGTAGAACTGGGCTGCCAGCTATCTCTGTGTTTTGGTGCTGAAGTGGCTTACTCCTACTTCCCCATGGACGAGATGCAGAACCTGCTAACAGCAAAAAGCAAGGATCAACACTTGGTGAATTCCAGTGCCTGTAAAGGGTCCCCTTTTTGCAGCTCCAGCATGTCTCATATCTCTTCCAGTGTCCTCACTGTGTGGAGCCAACATGGCTTGGTCTGGTCACCCCTGCCACTCCACACCTAGCCCTCTGGCAGGGTTGTGTCAGAGGTGACTCTCACTGGCTGTCTCTCCAACTCTATGTCCTGCTCCCTCTGCTAACTTATGGCACATTTTCTGCATCCATCTGCCCAGCCTGGGCCTGTTAACAGCACATCAGTGTTGGTGTGACTTTGTCCTGCCTGATGCACCATATCAAGAGTCCATCAACCCAACAGCCTGGGATGTTGCCAGGAGTGCTAATGTGGCAGAATCACTGGCTTCATTATGCCAATTGGGCAGCTGTACCCTCCTCTACACTACAAATTTCCCTGGGTTTAGATGCCTGCCAACAACGGCCTCTGTGGGCATTGAGCCTTCAGGTGCCCCAGCTGCTGGTATGATCATCCTTACATTAGTTGTCACTACAGTCCATACCACACCAAGGTATGAACCTGGCTGCAGCCTGCATATTCTCCCAAAATTGTGTTTATCTCTTCCACCCACTGTAAAGCCTCCCCGAGGCAATTTGGCTTTGCAAGCTACAACTGTTGCTGAAGCCTTACTAACCTTACTTCTATATGTCCGTGGCAAGCAGACCCAAATTCTCCCCATGCTGGTGCTCTCTCCAAGGGAGTTTCCCTCTAATGTGCATGGGGCACACTTGACCACCAAACCATCTCCCTAGGCCCACTGTGAGGTTGTGCCAAGTTACCATAATAGGCAGCAGGGAGATCTAACAGCACCTGCAGGGCTGGCCCTTCTTTGGCCACTTCTGACACCATTGTAGCATGGACAGGACAGGGAAGAAGCATAGCCTCTCAAAGCTTGTGGCCGTAAAACAGCTTTACATTGACTTGGTAGCCAGAGTACAAGAGAGGAAATATGGTCTTTAAACCTCTAGTATGGCCGTGCTTAGCCACAGAATTTTGCCTGGGGTTATTAATCAGGAAACAGGCCTGAGTGATGGTAACTCACACTCCCAACACCCAGTACCTACCCAACCTGCTCAACAGTTCCCATAAACTGTA